TGTTGTTGTTGTTGTTGTTGTTGTTGTTGTTGTTGTTGTTGTTGTTGTTGTTGTTGTTGTTGTTGTTGTTGTTGTTGTTGTTGTTGTTGTTGTTGTTGCTGTTGCTGTTGTTGTTGGTGTTGGTGTTGGTGTTGGTGTTGTTGTTGTTGTTGTTGTTGTTGTTGTTGTTGTTGTTGTTGTTGTTGTTGTTGTTGTTGTTGTTGTTGTTGTTGATTGTTGTTGTTGTTGTTGTTGTTGTTGTTGTTGTTGTTGTTGTTGTTGTTGTTGTTGTTGTTGTTGTTGTTGTTGTTGTTGTTTTTTTGGGGGGGTGGGGGGGGGGATACATTGCTTCAAGCAAATGCAAGGGGGTTTGGGTACTGATTCTTGCCCTAAGGGAGGCACAGCGCAGCCGCCGTCTCATCCGTGGCCACGAGATCGTCGCGGTCATCTTCGTCCCTTCCTCGATTCGACTCTAAAGGAAAAGAAAGCCGGGCCTGCCGGCTGCGACCCCCACTCATGAAAAGGTGGTTTCCTAAGAAGAGTGAAGACTTGCCGTCCGCTACATGAAACAAATCAGACTACCGTCAGGAAGTGTGGCCAGCTCGCGCTTCCGCTTCTTGCTCAGCTGGTCCCTCGCAGCGCCTTCCTGCGAGCCCTTGCCAAAATTGCGAGTTGCCAAGGCCGGCCCGCTGTGGTTGGCTAAGAGTGTTGAAAAGGCTTGCAGTTCAGCGAAAGAGAATCTAAGCAGAGGAAAGCCATTTTGCCAGCCAATCAAAGCCAGGCTGTTCGGTTGCTTCCGGCCAACCATGGGTACTGCGCCGTGACAAAACCTGTTGCATCAGCCTGGTGCCTTCTGGCGAAGCGATGGTCTGCTGTGCAGCCACCTGCTATTGTCCAAAGTGGATGGGCAAAGGGGGGGACCACCATCCCATACACAAAATCGAGTGAACAAGGCTCAAAACTTACTTGTGCCTCACTGCCACATGCCAACCATGAACTTTGGAAGGTTTGCTGCTTGGTGCGGCCTTTTGTCAAGGTCCTCTGTCCGAACCTCCAAATCTCTGTCAGGACTCGTAGGTCCTCCACAGGTCCGCAGCACTTGGGCTGACAATGGCCCATTGCGAGTCGCAAGGTGGCTGGCTCCAAGCTGTTTGGGGGAGCCTCAGCAACTGGGATAGCATCTGGGCTGCATCTTGCCCTAGGGCCACAATGTACACGTACATGCTGCCTGCGTTGCTTGCTCAAGCAATGTCGAGCTCAGCTTTGGTACCACAAATGACTTACTAGGAAGGCCTGAGCCTGAATATATGCACAGCAAGCTGTGGGCCCTGCTTGTGGAAAAGCAGATTTCATGCAAGGCAGTACGCTCGCGAAATGCCCAAGACCATGACCCTATGCAACGAACCCTGTCAAACTCAATGCTTACTTTTGCGGGGGCATCTTTGAATCACCAAGGTGGCTCACGGCTGGGACTTGCATTTTTCTTCTCCGCGCTCGACGACAGGCTCTAAGGAACTACAAACAACCCGGCACCCACGCAGCGCGCAGCGCCACAGCAGAATCCATGGCAAAGCCCATCACGTATGCCAGCACAAGATGATGTCAAGCCAAAAAACCATATAAACCACCGTCTCTTCGACCAGCATCTACCCTCGCTTTCGGGCGCCGTGAGGACACAACTTCCCGCCGTTCTTCGCGGGCTCCGTTTGTTTGCTTCCGGCGAACGGAGAAACGCCGCACGATTCTCCGGCGAGCGCAATGGCTTGGCCATGCGCATGTGACGATGGGCTCAAGTGGAAGCCGCAGCCGTCCAAATGCAGCTGAGGCCCCAAGCCAAACTTGGCACTGATCCATGTGCAATTGAAAGACTTGAGGCCTCAACCGTGCAACCGAAGCCCAAGGCAAGCATGCAGAAAGCCACTTAGCTCATGGTTTACAGCCTCTGTGTCTCGCCAAGGCGACTTTTCCCGGTAGATCAAGCCGTCGTCATGTATGTGCAGTCTCTCCTGCAAACTTTGCCTCTGGGCGTCGCTTCAGTGCTCGGAAACGCACAGGCACATTTTCGACGTCCGTGCCGGCCTCTTGATACATGAGAGCCCCATTGAAAATCATCGTTGGTGTTCCCTTTTGTTTCAACTTGGTTTCCCTTTGGCTCCCGTTCAAAGGCCCGTGGAAAGGGTACCCTCAAAAGACACATACCTTGAGTCGACCCGGGGGGTACGAAACCATCTCGCCAGCAAACGATATCGAATTGGCTGGGTCCCTGTCAAGAAGGCCACCGGAACACAGTTTAAGAAAGTGCCACCTGGTTTGAGGCACGCAAGGCTTGCAATTAGAGCCCTCAAGTGCCAAGTGCCCTGTTCACGCAGCTGGCTCAGCAAGGCGTCCTGGGCTCGTGTGCCCTCGTCCAGAACCCCCCCCCCAAAAAAAAAAAGAAACAAAAAACAGAACACCCCTTTTCCAAGACCTGGGTGCAGTGAAACTTGCTTCAACATGTTTGAAAGTAAGCGCCGCCAAAACAGGCCTCGGCACACTTGCTCGTGTGGCTCGGGCTGTTCAATTTTCCTTGCGAGCTTGCAGCCTCCAGCCTAACATGAATCTGACGGGTCCGACTTCCGGCTATCCCTTTCAGTGGCTTCTGGTTTTGGACTGGCTTGGAACAGGGCGATCCAAAGGGCAAAATCAGCCACTCCAAACCGGCAGACAGATTCCGAGGCATGGCTTCCGTCTCTTTGCGACGGGGGGGTTCAGAACTCATTCCCCGAACCCTGGGAGCTTCAGCCACACATGCGAGGGGGAGCAATGGCATGGGCAAACGTAAATGAGCGGTGATATCGATGGCTTCTGCCATCACGTTACCTTTGTTTCAAGATGGAATACCACAAGGAAAATAGATTAGATTTTGAATCAACCACCCTTACATTTAGCCATGAGGATTTGTTGCACCGCAACTCGCCTTTGAGGTGTGACAGTCGGATCTTCGGCGCGAGCCTTACAAATCGCACCGAGGCTGCGTGACAGCATTAAATTAACCGATTTTGAACAACGAACCATTTCTTTACCAGAATAAGTAGCATGCAACAAAAGCGCTTTGAAACCCTTCTTGCAACGATCTGCACATGGTCACATGTTTGACACGTGGCCCAAGGTGCCATCAAGCTCCTTATAACTTTGACACATCACTCTGCTTGAATTTGCCACCATGCACAGGATGGGTGCCACTCCGTTCATTTGTCGGGTGAAAGCAGGCGCCACAATGCCCAGGTTGGTTTCCTCGTCCCCCTTACACACTCGCAAGACAAACCTTTACCCTGCCCTTCTCTCCGCCCAGTCGGAGGCTCAGATCCGCTCAGAGGCGGTGTGCTGAAAGTTCAGCTGATCCGTCGCGTCCATGCCTCAGAGCACACGACCTGGAAATGACAAGACATTCTTGTATGTGCATACATAAGTAGATACAAATACACGCTACATTCTGCAATGCTTACAACTTGTATGTATGTGTATGCGTATGCGTATGCGAATGTGCATGCGCATGTAAATGTGTATGCGTATGTGTATGTGCATGCGCATGTATGCGTGTGTGTGTGTGTGTGCGTGTATACGTGTTTGCATGTATGTATTTATGTATTTATGTATGTATGTATGTGTGTATGTGTGTGTGGTGTATGCATGTATGTGTGCATGTATGTATGTATGTATGTATGTATGTATGTATGTATGTATGTATGTATGTATGTATGTATGTACGTATGTGTCTATGTACGTCTGTATGCATGTATCTATGCAAGTAGGTACGTACGTACTTACGTATGTATGTATGTATGTAGGTATGTATGTATGTATGTAATGTAATGTAATGTAATGTAATGTAAGGTAAGGTAAGGTAAGGTAAGGTAAATGTAAATGTAATGTAATGTAATGTAATGTAATGTAATGTAATGTAATGCAATGTAATGTAATGTAATGTAATGTAATGTAATGTAACGTAATGTAATGTATTGTGTGTGTGTGTCTGTATGTATGTATGTATGTATGTATGTATGTATGTATGTATGTATGTATGTATGTATGTATGTATGTATGTATGCATGCCTGCCTGTATGTATGTATGTATGTATGTATGTGTGTGTGTGTATGTATGTATTTATGTATGTATGTGTGATTACGTATGCATGTACGTATGTACGTATGTTCGAATGTGTGTATGTAGGCAGGTACGCGTTTGCTGTTGGGCACCTGCTGCGTTTTGCATAGATACATGATCCAAGCACTCAATCACACACGCATAAATACACATCAAAATGTACACGAATTTAAATGCATGCATGTGCACACACTGCCTAACTGCCTCCCTGCCTGCCTGCCTGCCTGCCTATCTGCCTGCCTGGTCACCGTGACACCCTCACGGTTTGCATCAGGATCTGGGGATCGGGCGGAAGAGGCGCATGTATTCTGCGCGGGAGCCACGCCGGAACAGGCGTGGGGGAGGCTTATTGCCGAAGGCCTGGCGAGAAGCGAAATGTCGTGGACTTTCAGGTGAGGTACAAAAGGTTACAGAGTCCCAACCTGAATCAGCTGAACCATTGCCGTTTGAGTTGAACAACTCCAGTTTTTTTTCAAAAACACTGCGCGTCCAGTTCCTCCTGTGCACTTGCCACCCTGCACCTTGTGTGCTTCTCACAAACTCGCGGAGTCCTTCGTTCACTTCTTTGGCGCCAACCCAACAAGGACGGTGGGATGGCAGCTCCAATCTGCTGGGCCAGGAGCACATGCCTTCGGCCTTCCTCGAGCTTGCCAAGGCCAGATGCCAAAACAACCAAACCCAGCTTTCCGCGCCCTCGGAACGGGACGCAGGAGATCCTCCGGCCGGAAAAAATGCCTATGACAATTGCAACGATCATGCCAATGTTGTGCAGGTCCAGAAAGGGATATTTCTTGAAGAATCCCCTGTCAGTCGCACACACACACACACACAAAAGCGTCCAAAAACACCCGGCCCTCTCCAAGAGTTCGGTGGCATCCTCCAGCTTGGCAGACATTTGCCGCATCTCCTCGGCTGATAACGTCGAAGCCTGTCTCCCTAATGGGGGCAGGTCCCCGTGTCACACCATGCCCCAGCCTCGCGCAAGTGACAAGAGCCATGCAGATCTGGTGTCTGAAAACCAAGAATCTACACGCAGCAAACGATGAGCAAACTGCCGGGAGCCGGCTGCATTGGTCAGGGCTGTTGCAAACGCAAAAAGCAGTGGCAGCAGCAGACACTGCATAGACCAGAATTTGAGGTTGCCTTTGTCCTGCCTGTCCTAATGGCCGGACCCAGGCTTGGACAAAATTAAAAGGGAAGGCAAGAGGCCGATCACTGGCAGGCAAACACCACAGCAAACGCCGAACGCAGGCTACTTGTTGCTGAGCCTCACAGAGCGCGCACTTCGGAGCGCACTGCAAGCCGGACTTTCCACAACTGCTCAGCGTTACGGCCACCAAAGCGGTTGCGACTAAGAAAACTAACTCGTGAACCAGACTGCCCTCAACGGGGCCGTCGTCAAAACAGATTGATGCTGATGCCATCTAAGCGAAAAAGAAGCGTGCACAAGGCCTTAAATGTTGACCCCGATGAATCGATCTGGCTTTTCTCCACAAAAACGCGGAGGACCCTCCCTTTTCTTCCCAAAAGGCTAACGAATCCGTGAGAATCATGTCTTTGCTCAGGGCTTCTTTTTCAGAAGCCTCAATAATTTAAGAACCGTTTGGAACATCCGCCGGTCCAACAACCACCTGGTCGCCAGGCCGAGTCGCAGCCTGCATGGCCACCTGGTCGATGGCCCGCGCAGGTCCTGCCGACCGCCGACCGACATCCGCGGCAAAATCTAAGACATGTGCTCTCTGGGAAGGAGTTGCTGAAAAGTGGTCTGCTGTAAAAAAACTACTTTCCTCTTGAAAAGGAGGGTTTGTGCACTTCCATGTTAGTTTGTGGGAGGGGACCTAAAGGTGGTCGTCGCAAACACGTCGGGGTCATACTTGCGATGCAGGCCATGCACTCACTAAACTGATTTACCCCGGAAAGAATAACCAAGAGCTCTGAAAGTTGTGGGGTTTCGAACATCCACAGCTTTCAGCGCAGCTCCTTTGCACCGTAGAATTCCATCTATAAACTCTTCTAGAGTAACTTCGCCGTCACCATTATCCTCGGCATGCGCGCAGAACTCAGCAAGCAGAAACTCGAAAGTAAGCTTTTAGTTTGATCGTTTAGTTTGCATAGCAACTTCTCCTGGGATATGTCCGCTCTAACAATGCCTAGGCGCATCTGCTTTGCAAACATCCCTGGCGAATGAAATGGAACGAGCCATGCCGGCTCGATCCGATCCCCTGCTTGCCCCCCCCCCCCCCCGGAACCCCGGAATCCGTTCACATCATCATGCTGGGCTCTTGCAACTGCGCATCCAGAAAGGCAACAATAACTCACGGCAGTGTCGGTAAACAAATGATCTCAGGCGGCGAAGATGCATGCTGATACTGCGGAAGTGAACATCTCACCTGATGGGAAAGCGGGAAAAGTGAAGGGCAGAAACTCTAAACCAACACTTACGAACAACGGGATCCAACCCACATATCGGAGAAACAGATCTGAAATGGACAACCTAGAGAAGGCGACTAATGGTGAAACACTCCGGAACCAAACGAACAGGGCTAACCAGGAGGGAGGGGAGACGTCGTGGGGCAGGGTTCCAAAGTCAAACACAAAGTGCCGTCTCGCCCAGAGGAGGAGGGGCCAAAACGATTGGGAAGCATCACACCCCTGTCCTATGCAGGACTCCACGTCAGCTATACGTATCTTGCGTGGCAATGCAGACACACCCTTTGGACACCGACCGGGTCTCGCAGCTTCTTGCCCGGACTTGCAGCCAAGCAACCAGAATGTGGAAGAGAGCGGTGCCTGGATCTGTGGCAAGTTCGCAAGACATTCAAAGGATCTCTGTGGAGAATCTGACTTTGGAGATGGCTTCACCCCGCTCCTTCGTGCACGTCCACTTCCAGAGTCTGGAAGTATGCCTTCACCTGCCAAGGAAAATCCTGCCACATGGTGTTTCAAGAACGTGCAGGCCCTCAAAGCACTCAAATGACTCAAATGTGACTAACTACTCATCCGTTTGCCCGTTGCATGAAACACATTGAATGGTTGATAAACGGTTCTGGGCAATCATGTCCTCTCTCTGCGTGAAACACCTTGAAATGTGCGTAATTCTCATATGTCCGCTATGTCCGCCCTGCCCTGCCTGCAATGCATTGCACAAGCAATCATGAAACCTTAATCTGACATGGTTGCTATCAGGTCGTGAAACGACATGTCATTGTTAAAGATCGTTTAGCACTCACACACCGTCTCGTAGGGGCTAATTCAGATCCGACCACAAGACTATCTGTTGGTACTTAATCTGCCGTCTTAATCGCCCAAACTGCAAACCGGTGGTCAGTCCTTGCTAGAAGGATAATCACCATGGTGCAACGCCGAGATCACCAAACAAAATTGTGTCCGATCAACGACGCAAAGGTGGTGCCTCGTTATTTTTATTGCTGGCCCGCACCATCCTCCCTGCAATTCGGGCCTTTGGATCTTCCAAAGTCTCCTCCAACCGTGCCTGGCTGATCATTCCTCAGAGCGAATGGATCCTTTTGATGCTCGCAGCTGCACGTGTGTGTGTGTGTGGATGTCAGACGGGAGCCGGGAGGATAAGCCAAACCAACCATTAGGCAGGAGGTCAGAACTCTGGCTGAACTTCTGAGCTTAATACATCAGCCAGCTGATGTGTTTACTGCTTTCGGAACCCATATTGCCTCTGGGCACAAGTGGCCCAACACCTCTAGTGTCTCTGAGGCAAATTGAAACTATGCATGACACCCCCAATAAGATAACTTTTCGCCATTTGCCGTTCCAACATCTGAAGACTGAGCAAAAAAGGATTCCCAAAAACACTCGGCATGGCACTTGATTCTTTCGGGAAGTCGATCCTCCGTTCCTTGCGCTCGCAGCTTTCCTGGGCAAAAATGTGCCACCCCGACATCCCAGACCAGGGTGCCATTTGCCTCGCGGATCGACTGGAAAATGGTTTCGAGCTTTTTGACCTTCAGGCACGGCAAAGGATTTCTTAGCTCGCGGTGACTTGAGTCCTAGCTCAACACAACCCCACTGCACTTGAGCTCCCGGCATAAGATGCCTTCTTTTGAAGACGCTCCTAAGAGATGCACTTGGAACACACACCATGCCGACATCCTTACAAAACAACGCCCAAAAAAATCAGAAAGAAATGCAACATCTGATGGCCGACCTTGTGAGCCTGGTTTATGCATCAGGGGCTCCCAACCTCACACAAGGCAATAACAACAATGCAAAGTTGACCTAGTGAGCGGCAAGTTGTCACCCGCACAGGCACGGGTGCTGAACAAGAAATCTTAAAAACCTACATGCGAAAACGCAACAATCTGCAATCTTCCCCCTCAAGCCCAAAGTAGCCCAGGATCAACCACGAGAAGCTCCGCGTCGTTGTTCGCAGCGTCCAGAGTATCCTTCAAAAATATCGCAGTGATGACCTGAGCGTTTGCTCTGGCAAAAGGATGCGAACAACAAGTGGCAATCATGGCCTGGAGCATGAGGCTTTTTGGAGCCAATTGACAGGCAGAACAACAAAATGATCCACGACGGATTGGCTAAGCTTGGTCAGTTTCATCCATACCGAGTTGCGCGGATCACGGCAAATACAATGAGCGTGATATACGCCAGGAAGAACAGCGCAAAGTAGCTGCCCCTGGGCGTGGTCAGGGGGCCCTTCCGAACGGTTGCGCGAATTTGCCCAAATAGCCTCTTAGCTTCCGTAGGGCTCGAACAATTGCATTCAACACAACCCTTTCGTGTCTGGGTGCCGGAAGCTTCCCCCGCCCTGTCAGGTTGGAAAACCGGTCTGGGGTGGGTGCGACGTCCCATCCAGACAAGCTTCCCTAGAGTGGGTGTGCCAGGCTGATTAGTGCCCGCCGGCACGCAAGGGGGGGGAAACCGCCGAGGGTAAGATGAAAATTCTCCCCGTTCAGGATGCGGGGAAGGAAGCAAATTGGAGCAAAGGTCAGACTTAGCTACCTGAAGCTCCTCGCTGTAGCCGACCGAGCGATACGTAGCATCCAGCGAGAAGAAGGCCCCTCCGTGAGCCTTGTTCCAGAATTCCTTGGTCGCAGAGCTGCTGGATGAAGGGGGTGTAGCTCTCCTTCACTTCAAGTCGCCGGGAGTGGGCAGGTCCACCGGATGCCTGGGCAAAATGACTCAACCATCGGTTCCGCTTTAGGTTTTGGTTCACTTCTTGGCCTCCTCAAGCGACACCATCACCTCGTCCAGGGCCTCGCCGGTCTGCATGGGCTTTCCCTCAGCTTCTCAAAACGCCTGCAGGTTAGAGAGCCCGAGCCCCCGCGCTGGCAACCTCCGTTTCTGGAATGAACTGCATGCCCTCCTGGAGCGGCTGGAGCACGGCCTCCGTGTTCTCCAACATTTCGTCGATGGTCTCGGCCTTCTGTCGTTTCCGCCTGCTCCACCTGCTGGAACAGTCTAGCCTGCCCTGGTCAATTTGCGGGCGGTGCACCTCGAATGCCTGGTTCGCGTGCTCCAACATGCGGTACTGGGTCCGGACCATGTCCTCCCTATCCTGGCGAAAAGCCATGGCCTTGTCGCCTGCCTCTGCGCACAGGATTTCTTCATGGGACCACGTCCGCCATCGTGACCTTATCCAGTGTGAAGTGCGGGGAGGGGCCCTGCCCAACACCCCGCTTTGGACGGGGGCTCACGCCACAGCTCGCCCCATCCCCTCCACGGCGCCCTTGTCCACGTAGGCTTGCCGTTGAGGATGAACAGATTCCACAGGGCGCCGTCCGACTAGAGGGCCGCTGGTAAGGGACGGACTTGGTGCTCGTGCATGCCCAGCATTTCGAGGCAGCGGGTGGCCATCCCACTGCCACACACCGATGTGGTCGTAATCTGCCGTGCCCTCTACCCGTGTGAAAAGCGCTTGGCCACCCAAGCCGCGCTTGTTGCGCTGGTATTGTGACCTGGCGCAGCTGTATCTTCATGGGGATGTAGGCCTCCAAAGTCCGGGTCGGGGGCTCCGTCAAGTCCGCGTCCTTAAGCTCAAAGAAGAGGGCCTCCGTGGTGATGTGTCAAAGAAGGCGTGCACCGTGGAAGGAATGGCCGGGAAAGTAGCCGGCATGCCTGAAATGCGACGGTAGCCCGCTCTGTCCTTGTCTGCGACAAGCGCAACCATCTGCGCCGGTCCAGAGGCTCCCAACGCATCCCCCTTGACGAATCCACTCTCTGTGCGAATCCACCATGAAGGCCACAGCCGGCTTACCAGGGCCGGCACCATGGGCAGGAGCCGGGCTCGGCTCCAAAGCTAACCTTCCAGCCAACGTGCCCTTCGAGCTCCATTTCCGCCAACGCAATTTCCTCCTCCGATCCTCCACCAGCTCAATCAAAGTTGCTGAGGTAGAAGAAGCCATGGCAAGATAAGCGGGAGTCGGTACAGAGGCGATAGCTTTCTCAAATCTCCGACCACTTGGTCCAAGCTTGAGCGAAAATGGCGCGTGCCATTTTGGTCAAGCATTCCTCACACAAGCCATGTTTCCACATGTTCCAACATTAGCCAAAAAAAAAAAGTACAGCGCTTTGCGGGTTGCTCTCTCTCTCTCTCTCTCTGTGTCTCTGTCTCTCTCTCTCTCTCTCTCTGTCTCTCTCGCGTGGATGCGTGCTTGATGGGGCTTTCTTTTTTGCGTGTGCCCCTTGCCTTGCGGCAAAAGAAGGACACCCAAATTATCCAAAGGCATGAGTCCGGACAAGGCAGACCCGAAGTACGCCTCACGCGCGAACACCAGGAGCGAGCAAGGGTCCTGAAAAAACAAAGAAACAGAAGCTTCTGCCCCCCCCCTTGCCAGGCAAGGCCAGACCTGAATTCCATTCTTAAGAGGGCCGGACAGAAACATTGCTGACAGCCGAGCGGCACGTCTCTAATCACCGGGCGTGCATATGTTGGCCAGTTACCCGCGAAGGTGATCTGGCGACGCCGAACCGCACACGCACGAGGGCAAGCAAGGAAAGAAAGAAACAAAGAAAAGGCAGGAAGCGTTTTGCTCTGTTCATCAAACATGCAAGAAGTTGCTGATTCAAACTCAAAGACAACTAGCCATACACACGCCCAAACACACACAACCGCACAACCACTGTAAAGGCCAACCTGGAAAAAGATGCACTTGCAAGTCTAACGCTGCGCAGTCTGCAAGGGTGGCTGCCAGCGCTGGCCGAAGCCTCGTAGAGGGTGTACATGGCCCGCAGGGCCGTGCCTGCGAAGGCAAAGCCGCAGACAGAATCTGGAAGCCGCCCCTGTTTGGCGGTCTCTCATTTGCATTCTTCCTTCTGCCGCACGCTAATCTTCTGGCCTGCCTGCCTGCCTACCTGCCTGTCTTCTTGCCTGTCTGCTTGCTCTCGCGCGGTTGGCGGCGTGCTCGCTTTCTTCCTTGCTTGGTTCCTTTGCTTGGGTTCCTTGCTTTGCCTTTCCTTGCCTTCTGCCTCTGGGGCACATACAAAACTTAGCAACCATAGGGCCCGTTGTGCTTTTCAAGCACCACATGTCCTCAAGCCACTGCGCTGGCCAATGAATTCAGCGAAGCGCTCTCCAAAATTGCCCAGGAGATTTCCCCAAACTACTTGATTGAAAAGTGCTTGTCAAACAAGCAGGCCCGTCAGATAGCGGGCGCGGGTACAACGCTGAGCTTCTTATATGGCAGGCGCCATGGACGCAGTGCCGCGGGTTCTCTTGAGCGGGCGCGCTTTCCACTTGGCAGCCGTGGGCACGCTGCTGAGCGGATGCTCTTGACCGGGCGCGCTTATCGGATACTGTGTTGCCTGGAAGCTCTTGAACAGGCACGCTCATCATTTGACAGGTGCGGACGCTGTGCTAAGCGGGTGCTCTCGAGTGGGCGCCCTTATCATTTGGGAGGCCTGAACAGTGCTGCCTGGGTGCTCTTGCGCGGAGCTTATCATGTGGCCGCGTGGATGCAAGCATGTTTGCTTTTCTCATATTTTCTTTTCTGTTACTGTCTTGCTTTCTTGCTTGCTTTCTTGCTTTCTTGCTTTCTTGCTTGCTTGCTTGCTTGCTTGCTTCCTTGCTTGCATTCTTTCTTTATATATTTCTTTCTGTCTGTCTGTCTGTCTGTCTTTCTTTCTTTCTTTCGTTCTTTCTTTATTTCTTTATTTATTTCTTTCTTTATGTCTTTCTTTCTTTCTTTCTTTCTTTCTTTCTTTCTTTCTTTCTTTCTTTCTTTCGTTCTTTCTTTCTTTCTTTCTTTCTTTCTTTCTTTCTTTCTTTCTTTCATGCTTTCTTTCTTTCTGTCTTTGTTTCTTTATTGCTTTATGTTTTGTCTTTTCTTTCTTTTTGTCTTTTGTTATTTCTTTATATATTTATTGATGTCTTTCCTTATGTGTTTCTTTATTTCTTTCTATGGTTCTTTATTTATTTCTTTCTTGCTGTCTTTCTTTAGTTCTGTCTTTCTTTCTTTATTTCTTTATTTAGTTAGTTCTGTCTTTCTTTATGTATTTATTGATTGATTTATATATTTCCTTTCTTTCTTTTGCTCTTCATTTATGTCTTTTCCTTCTTTCTTTCCCTCCTTATTTCGTTGTTTTCCTTCCTTCCTTCCTTCCTTTCTTTCTTTCTTTCTTTCTTTCTTTCTTTCTTTTTTGCTTTCTTTCATTTATGTTTTTCTGTCATTTCTCGCTCTCTCTCTCTCTCTCATTTGTTTCTTCCTTTTGTTCTTTCTTGCTGTCTTTCTTTCTTTCTTTCTGTATTTATGTATTTCTTTCTGTATTTATTTCTTTATTTATTTATTTAGTTATGTCTTTCTTAATTTACTTATTTATTTATTTGTTTATTTCCTTTCTTTCTTTCTTTCTTTCTTTCTTTCTTTCTTTCTTTCTTTCTTTCTTTCTTTCTTTCTTTCTTTCTTTCTTTCTTTCTTTCTTTCTTTCTTTCTTTCTTTCTCTCTTCACTTATTTCTTTATTTTCTTTCTTTCCTTCCTTATTTATTTCTTTTCCTTCCTTCCTTCCTTCCTTTCTTTCTTTCTTTCTTTCTTTCTTTCTTTCTTTCATTCATTTATGTATTTCTGTCATTTCTCTTTCTCTCTCTCTCTCTCTCTCTTTTTTGTTTCTTTCTTTTTTTCTTTCTTTCTTTCTTTCTTGCCTTCTTTCAACTTTCTTGCTTTCTTTCTTTCTTTTGTTCATTCTTGCTTGCTTGCTTGCTTGCTCGCTTGCTTGCTTTCGCTTTCTTGCTTTCTTTCTCCTTCCTGCCTTCCTTCCTTGTTTCCTTCCTTTCTTTCCTTCTTTTGTTCTCTCTTGCTTGCTTGCTTGCTTGCTCGCTCGCTTGCTTGCTGGCTCAAGGGCCATTTCATGCTCAACCTACAGCCTCCAGAGCGTAGAAACAAGGCTCGCTGAGTGTTGCCTGCCTGTTTGCTTGCTTGCCTGCTTGTTCATGTCCACCTGAAATTTTCCTGACGGATGGCGCGTGTGTGTGTTTTAGGGTTGGCTTACGGTAGTATTCGGGAGTTTTTGCACGGGCGGTGCCAACTTTCACCTTGATGAGCCATGTATGTTCTCAATAGAGAACCTTTAAGCTTTGGGGCGCCCGATGCGCAGCTCTCCCTGTTTGAGCTTGGGCGCTCTCGCCGACAAGCGCGCTTTGTGTGTGTCATGAACTCATGGCCTCATGGCACGGCGCCATGAACCCCGTCCCACATCCCATTGAACCCTCTACACCCTTCCGCCCACACCTGGCGCTTCACTCCTGTTCTATCATGATCAGTGTTCCTACTTCGCAGGGCTTCTGCGTTTCAGTTTCACGGCCATAGAAAGCGGCTGCTGCTAAGGGGGCGGGGTTGATATCAACTGACTTACATGGGTAGGACCAGTCCACTCTGCAAGTTTTGCCATTCAAGCTTCGATGCCTTTGAAGATTGGGGCAAGGCGGGGCAAAGAAAATGCAAGCAATGACTGGCGCGGATCAAGTTGAAGGAGGGCCTCAGCAGCACTCTACCTGTTACAACCTAGGGGAGCAAGAAGCTATAAACTGAGTGAGACCTCTTCCCTCGGGTAGCCCCGCAAGTGCATTTGTGTGATCCAATTTGATCACTCTTCCTGTCAGACTGTGCCCTTTACCCAGGCATCGGCCAGGCTGCCGTAGTGCTCCCAAATCCAGTCTCTGGACTCTGCATCTTGGGAGGTGTCCGCAATGAACTCCTGCAGCCTTCGATGCGCAAGCACCGCCCCAACGTTGGAAACAGCATTCGACTCAGAGCCTCTGGCGACCATCTTTTTTTTGAGTGGAGATGTACATCCACCAAGTTCACGGCCGTCTGCGAGCAACTCCAAACATGTTTGTTTAATGCTTTCCGCATCGTTAAGCCCCAGTTTCGGCATCCCTGGAGTGTCTTGGACGGGTGAGGCAGTACCGGCCGCTGAGCTCACAATCTGCCGCCCCCTCACAGCCCAAGCCACAGGTTCCCCAGCATGAGCGCACCCATGATCATGAATATGGCCAAGAGCACCATGGACCAGGCCAGCGAGGGCAGGAAGGAGTAGCCTCGGCAGGCAAGCAACTGGGCCCTTCTGGACTTTCGCTTGGCCTCTGAAGGAAAAGTCAAGGCGAGAAAAAGACAAAGGGAGAAAGAGAAAGAAGCAAAACAAGAACAGCAAAGATGAATAAGAAAAGAAAATGAGACCAGGAGCAGACATAAGGACACAGAGCTGAGAAAGAGAAAGAGAAAGAAGAAGACAAAAGGAAAGAGAAAAGAAACAGAGAAAGAAAATGAGGAAGAGAGAACAACTGAGAAAGAGAACGAGAAAGAGAAACAGAAAAGAGGCAAGGAAGAAAGAACGAGAAGGGGAAAAAAGAACCACCAAACAGAGTTCTTAATTATTCGAAACGTCTGCCCCCCGGCTCTGCCGGTTTTTACTGGTTCCGAAGCTCATGTTTACTGTCTCCCTTCGATGTGCTTGCAATAACTCTAGTACGGATTGCAAAGAAAGTCTTCTGCTGACATGTGCAAACATTGTTCGGAAATGCAACGGTACGTGCGTACATACGCACATACTCATGCCTGCATACATATATATATATATATATATATATGTGCGCACGTATCACGTATGTATGTATGCACGCATGTATGCACGTATGCACGTATGCACGTATGTATGTATGTATCTATGTATGTTTGCATGTATGTGTGCAAGTATGTTTCCATGCATGTGTGCATGCATGTATGGCATACATGCATGCATGTGTGCACGTATGTATGTATGCATGCATGCATGCATGCATGTATGCTCGTATGCATGTATGCACTTATGCATGTACGCACGTATGCATGTATGCATGTATGCATGCATGCAGTATGCATGTATGCATGGGCTGTTGCATGCATGCACATATTCATGCATGCATGCGGAACTGTTACTTGTAAATCAAAATTACACCACCCCAATCTGCATGCCCTCTGGCACCCTCCCCTCAATCTTGCAACATCACCAGCACCTCCAGCACCCCGAACAGCACCCTGCCGTCAATCTCAAGCAGCATCCCCCAAAACAGACCTGCGAAACAGCATACCCGGTCGCCAACCTCGCAAAATATCGCCCACACCATCACCAGCACCAACGTCATCGCACCTCAGACCACCCTGGACCAGCACCCCAAACTGCAAGCCCCCTAGCACCCGGCCGTCAATCTCGCAAAAATGCACCTGCACCGTCACCAGCACACAAAAACAGCACACGCACCAGCACCCCAATCTGCATGCCTCCTGGTACCCAAGCGTCAATTAAAAGTTACAAACCCATAGCTTTCAGCTATCTAGGGAAAAATGTAATGTTGCCTCCATCTTGAAAGTTGAGGGGCAATGAGGTTCTGTCAGCTCCTTCTTTCGTAAACAACTGCATCTATTATATGTTATAGATTGTACATGGTGGCCTCATTCTTCACATGTGTCGTTCTTAAAAAGCTAGGAAAATCAATGTTTGTCATACACACTTTACCCAGTACTAAGTTGAATTGGCTCCACATACTAAGCGTATAGCGCTTGCCACCAAAACCTGAAGCAGAATCGAGCGAAATCCGATGATTCATTCACAAGATGAATCGGGGAAAAAAAAATCCATCTGGAAACCTAGAGTACGATATCACAGTATCATTCGAACCCCATTTAACTCGTCTTGCCCATCCGTCCATAAACGCACCCCTTTAAAAAAATGATTTGTCACATCATTTCATGTCAGTGTTTTGCTGGATAACGTCTTGCGTGTGTGTGTGTGATTAAGATTCTACAGTTGAAAGTGGGCAAGGCGAACATCCCGTTCGTGAGCGGCTCAGTCACGCATTCCGAGGCACATGCCCGCACGAGCACCCGCAGCCCGCGGAAGAGGCGAAGAGTTCTCCTCAGAAAACCCGGAATCTGAGGCGATCCCCAACTCATTCAACTGAGTTAGCATTGGCTCTGCAAAAGGCACTGGCCTTCGACTGGCCTTCGCCTGGCCGCAGCCCAATGCCCTTGGACTACGTGAGGGTGGCAGGTGGGGGCACGCCCTGGCCACGCGCTGGCCACGCGGCTGACGGACGAAGTCTCTTGCCCAGCCCAGCTTCACGACCCCACCTTTGCCTTTGGACTGCGTCTGCAGGTCACAACCCCTTCCGGCCGGAAACCAGCTCACAAGGCAAGCCAAACACGCAGCACTTCAAGACTTCAAAGCCAACCAAAAGAATCTTGCTGACACTGGCAGAGGCGGGCAGCACGAAGCGTCTACAATTCCCTTCAAACCAGCCACCAAAAAATACCAAGCCTAAAAAGAAACGCACATGCACACACCATCTTCACCTTGTCCTTACGTCTCTCCGCGTACTTCGCATCCAAGGCTCACCATCCGGATGGCCCGCATGGATTTCACAGCCCGCGCCAGGCGCAGCAAGATCATCTGGTCCGTCGCGCCGCCTGCTCGGCTTTCGCGAGACGTCTCGACGTCCCACTCGCTTCGGGGCTTCGTGGCGCCCGCGGAAAACCTCCCCGGCATCATTTGCATGATTCCCCCCACCTAAAAGAAAAGAGCGTATGCCCATAACATCAGAAGCCAGAGGTCCAGAGCAAGTTCATCTTTGAAGCCTTTTCAGCACTAAGTCAAAATAGCCACATAGAAACCCCCTGAAGTTGGAACTAAGGCTATTCGGCACCTTGGGCATTTACGGTGGTAGTGGCTGTTGGCACCAAGCAAGCGCAGAAACTGTCTGGCTTCGTTCAGGCTTGATAGTGTGGCCCGAGGCAAAGGCAACATCGCACATCCCTTTGTGACACCCATCTATCACCAGGGGGCGTCCTTGGCCAGGAAGCGTCACAAGTCCAAAACACGTCTGCAAAATCAGGACACTTCATGCTCACTCATGTCCACGAACATGTAGTGAGTCCTGTGAACCCACCACGCTGACGGTCGTGCCAGCCCTGTTCGGCAGCCTCTTTTAAATTCGCAACATGCAAATGTGCCCTGCCTGACAGCGCCATTGGCCTGAGAAGCCAGACGTCCAGGCAGGTCGTAGTCGCCAGGAAGATGTCAAACCAGTTTCTTAGCCGAAACCCTCTCGCAGATGCGGTTCAGCTCTTGTGCTATGATTGATCCCAACTCGTCTTGCCTCTGTGGTCGCAGGCCCCCATGCCTAAGGCATAAATTGAATGCGTCAAGAGACAGTGCTCTTCCAAATGAGGGAGCCAGATCCCATGGCAGCCCACCAAGGCGGCACAGCCATCTCCCAAATATGTCGTGTTTCTCTCCATGGCCCACAGAAGAGCCCAAGGCTAAACGCTTCGTCTAGGCCCAGCTAGGCTCTTGTCGTCTGAAGTCGCCAGGCCACACCGCCGTCTGGAAGAACTTCTTCTTCTCAATTGCCACGCGGCACCTCAGCTTTGAAATGCTCGGGTTGCAAGGAAACCCCCGCCCCACACGGGATATCTCGCCACCTGGTCAATCTCGACACACTCCCAGACTTAACTACAAACGCTGCGATGCAAGAAACCCAGCACCCCTCCCGTCCCGTCACTAGACTCTAGACCCTTGACACGCAGGCAGGCACACACACACACACAGACAGACAGACAGACAGACAGACAGACAGACAGACAGACAGACAGACAGACAGACAGACAGACAGACACAGACACAGACACAGACACAGACACAGACACAGACACAGACACAGACACAGACACAGACACAGACACAGACACAGACACAGACACAGACACAGACACAGACACAGACACAGACACAGACACAGACAGAGACAGACACAGACACAGACACAGACACAGACACAGACACAGACACAGACACAGACACAGACACAGACACAGACACAGACACAGACACAGACACAGACACAGACACAGACACAGACACAGACACAGACACAGACACAGACACAGACACAGACACAGACAGACAGACAGACAGCCAGCCAGCCAGACAGACAGACAGACAGACAGCCAGCCAGCCAGCCAGCCAGCCAGACAGACAGACTGGCAGGCAGGCAGGCAGGCACGCAGGCAGGCAGGCTGGCAGACAGGCAGCCAGCAAGCCAGCCAGACAGCAAGCCAGCCAGACAGGCAGCCAGCCAGACAGCCAGGCAGGCAGGCAGGCAGGCACGCAGGCAGGCAGGCAGGCAGTCAGACAGCCAGCCAGCCAGCCAGACACACAGACAGACAAACACACAGACACACAGCCACGCAGACACACAGACAGATAGACAGAAGACAGAAGACAAATAAGCAGACAGAACCGACCGACCGACCGACCGACCCACCCACCGAGCCACCGACTGCCGACCGACAGACCGACAGAGAGATGGACGGAGGCAGACAAACAAACGGACACAGACAGACAAACAGACACAGACACAGGCAAACAGACAGGTAGGTAGGGCAAGCTTGCCGGCACTTCATTTGCATCCCAACTTCCAGTGGAAACTTAGTTGCACTGTGGAGTACAACAGGTCTCTCTCCCTGGCATTGTGCGTGTGTGTGCAAGGAATTGAGCTGTTGCTGTAACTGTCAACAAGCGATAGCAGTGCCTTTTGCCATCCAAGTAAATGTGTGCGACCGTGTGACAGAGGAGGGGAAAGAACCCAGGCAATGATGCCTTGAAAACAGGGATGCTCCGTTCAGCGACAGTTGTACCGCGTCAGCGCTGGAAAAACATCCGGCTAACATCTTTCCTACCAGGCCACACGAGCTCCAAGAAATAGAGGACAGCGAAGATGTTGTCGGTGACGTTGAAGAACGTGGCGCTGTCCAAGTCCTTAGTGATGCCAAGGCCCGTGCCGAGAAGCTAGCGCAGCGACATCACGTCGCCTGTGATGCTACAGATGTCCATCTGTCGCTTTCAAGAGTTTCAAGCCGAACCAGGGTGTCTTTCGCTGTGAAGGGATTGACGGCCCAAGAGCTGCCAAAACTGCATGTCCCTGGCCAATTTTTGTCCAAATTTTCCGGACCGCCAAGACCCCGGCCGAAATCACACCGAGGTGCCATGGGCGGGGTGCGTCCCAACAATGCCCCGCTCATACGCCCCTCCAACTCCAGCTCCACGGTCATGAACAGGGAGTTCAAAAGCACACAGAGTCCCGCCTGGCGTGTCCAGTGACTTTGAGCCCAGGGTCGACCAGTTTTGACACGTCTCCCATGTTGGGAATTTTAGCCTTCAAGGCCAGGTAAACAGAGCGCCCCTTTGGACAACCATACGAGGTGGTATTGTACAGATTTGTAAGGTGCTCTTTCCGCAACGGGAATGCAACAAAATGCCACCTTGCATGGTGCGAAAAATGCGTGTCCGTATGAACAAACTGGCATGCCTGACAGTCACTGGCCAAACCAGCGCCAACCTGTCCCCGAGCAAATCGCGCCCACAAGCTTTCCCATCCAAGATGACCCTTTCCTTTCTGGGTCCAAAGAAACCCTTGATTGGCAGAGGCAATGGTTCAAGCCGTTCAACAATGCAACTTGGAGACCTGATACTTTGGCCAAGGGCGCCAAGCAATCCAGGCGGTACAGCATCTTCTGCTTGGTGCTGGTGTCTGCACCTGTGTCACACGTAGCCCCTGAATGGGACTCGAAGCTGGCGTGCTTTGGACTTGCTTTTCCTTTTTGGGAAACCCAGCTGCCGGATCCATCACCTTCCTTTGGGTGGGGTTCCCATTGCCTGGCTTTAAACATCCGGTCCCTAATCTGAATGGGACGCCACCAAATCGAAGAGCAGCTCAAACGCTACCAAGCCCCCTGCCCACGCCCAGCATGTGACTGGAGACGACACCTGAGGGCCTCAGAGAGCGCTGACCAAAAAGTCGGCACGGGCCAAGGTTTCGAACATTGTCATCCGCCCCTCCCTAAATGGCACTCAAAATAGCAAATACCCTAAACCCTCGCCAAGCCCGCCCTAAACCAACCCTACGCCGATCCTTCCCCCCTTTCTGGTTTTGGCAGATGGTGATCTCTTGGGAGTGGATGATCCGTGGGTGGGTATAGAATAGCATAGCATAGCATAGCATAGCATAGCATAGCATAGCATAGCATAGCATAGCATAGCATAGTATAGTATAGTATAGTATAGTATAGTATAGTATAGTAGCATAGCATAGTATGGTATAGTATAGTGGCATCGTCTAGTATAGCATCGTATAGCATAGAGTAGTATAGGGTTGGCTTGGGGTGGGATCAAGCCAACAATCCGCAAAAGTAACCAGAAAAAGTGGTAAAAGCTGCCAAAAGCCGCCAAAACGAAAACCTGCGTCCCCAAAATCCGAAACTGCCGCAAACGGCTTCTTGGATGCACCATTCAAGATGAAACTTTACGAGTCCCAATTGCCACTATCAATTCCAAGATATGACAATACAGGGGTCTCCCCATTGTTGGTCGTTTGGAATCGCGCCCTTGCACGGCTGCAGCTGCCCAGGACGCACCTCTTTGCACAGATCGCATGCGCCGAGGCCGACGCTTGGTGCGCACTCGCGACTGCATCATCCGAAACCAAAAGCTTGTCCTCTGGTCCCGAATTGCGGCCATCCCGGGAGCCACAAAACACACCCTCATTGCCAGATGGAGATTTGCCAAGCCATTGGCAAGCCCTGAACCCAAAAACATGTGTGACTACTTCGGAAAAATCGCCCGAGGTGCGCCCAGCCGGCCTTAGGCATGAAAGAAATGCATTGGTGTTTGCCATCAGCAGCCCCAAAGCTCTCGCCGTAGCCGCAACCCAAGGTCCCCTGCCCAGCGCGAATGAGTTGATTCCTTGATACCCTCGGGAAACTTGGCGAAACATGAATGTTGGATCACCACCGCTTTCAAGAAAAGCTCAAACATTCAGAGAGCCACTGTATGCCATTGTTTTTGCATCACATATCGTGTGTCAGTTCGTTGCTTGCCCAGCATTGCAAAGGAAGAGCTCTCCTCATGTTCATTTGACAGCGCGCAAAGCCAAACAATACAATGATCTCAGCATGGACGACCAACACAAACTGGCGCTCTGGCAGCGCATCATTCAAAGAAGCCTGCCACTCGCGGAGATTGGGACAAGTGCACTTTGACCCGGCTTGGGTGGACTTGGAACTGTTGCAAGAAACATGCCGAAACAAGGATGTTTAGTCAGGGTTTTGCCGAACTGCACTGCGCTGGGCGGCGCTCGGGTGGCTGCTCAGTCAGTCGGCACTTACACCACCGCGTAACGTGCTCGAACCTAAGCTACGGCAAGCCCCCACTGCTTGTCGCCTTGTGCCTGGCAGTTGGGCTGCAAAGGCCTGCTGGTGACAAGGACTGCAGCCGGAGGCTCAGACAGTCGTGCAAAGTGCCACAATGCGTTGCTGCCCACCTTTTTTTCTTAATTAACATTGGCAGCAAAGGTTGTTTCACGATGAGTTTGCACGCCCTACAACACCCACACAGACATTCCCACAGACAAGACATCCCCAAAAAAAGCAACGACGATGACGTCCCCAACGACACCCCCAAAGACATACACAGATATCCCCTAAGATCCCTTCCAAGGACAAACTCAAAGACACCCTCTGAAGACACCCGCGAAGACCACCCTTTAAGACGGATATCCCCCCAAGATCCTTCGCCCCTCCCCACCCCACCCCAACCCACCCAGCCCCATCCCACCACATCCCCAAGTCATCCCCCAAAACATCCGCAAAGTCATCCCCATCACCCAAGACAACCGCACGGACATTCCCAAAGACACCATCCCCCAAGTCCCCAAGATATTTTCGGAAAATGTTTGTAAAGACATCACCCAAGTCATCCCCAAAGACATCCCCCAAAGACATCATCCAAGACAACCACCCCCAAAGACATCACAGAAAATAGGACTTCATCCAAAGACTTCCCCGTAAGATGCTGATCCCTGCTCATCCCCCCAAATCATTCTTCCAAGAAAAGACACCCCCCGAGAGACCTCCCCCAGACATCACCAAACCCTTCAGAAGACATCCCCGAAGACCCCCGTTCACATCCCCTCGGCGGAGGACATCCTCAAAGACATCACGCAAAGACATCCCCAAACATACCCCAAAAGCATCCTGAAAGACATCCCCAAAGACACCCCCAAAAGACATTTCCAGAAATTCTCGGAAGACAGCCTCAAAACCCAACCGAGGTGTGACCTGCAAGGAGGTTCGGAATTCTCTCGGCACATGGGCAGAGATGAGACGCGGCAGGCGCTTGGAGACGAGCATGCCAACCGTTGAGAGCCAAGAAGCAAGATCCGACCTACGGAGCTGGCCAACGTACTACGTATATACATGTACATCTGTATACGCAGACGCGAGAAGATTTCGCCTTGTAGCACTGGGCAGAGCACGGTAGTGAAACTCAGAAAGACGCGCGACTGCGATGACTGCGGTTTCAAGTTCTTTGGCCTTGGCCTCTCCATGACCAACAACCTCAGCCCCTTCGCCGCTCACACGCAGGACAACAACATGGTGGGCAGAACAATCGACCTGCATCAACAGGCCATCCGACAGCCAGGCCCACAAGGGGGGTTCACTTTGCGCTCTCGAAACGTGCGCCGTTGCCACAGTGAGAGCGCTTCGACCTTTCACACGCACACCGCGACACAGCGAGAGCGATTTGACCTACTCAAAGCGCTGGCCTGCCACGAAATCTGCAACGTACTGCGCCTGCCAAAAAATGCACGAAAAGCTCCAAAGTACCGCGCCTATCACAAATTTCGAGCCCAAAGCTTTGAAGCGCAGCTCCTGTCGCGCAATGTGCGAACTCAAAATCGTCCAAAGTACTGACCCTGTGACGAAATTCAAGCAAAACTAGCATGAAAGTGGCGCCAGACTGATTTCAACCGATTTTGACAAAGTTCAAGCTCACCAACGAGACATCTCAAAGCGACCACCCCTGAAACGCAAATCCGAATGGCACGGCAATGCGAACATGCGACCTTCCAAAACACTGCGCCTGCACAGCGAAACAGGCACGACGAATTCAGCCCTTTAAGGCTCATTCAGAAGTCACGTTTTGTGGGAATCCAAATGGCACGGCAAGCGAGACACTCGCGAACACAAACGAACGCTTGCGGACGCTTCACAAACGTAAACGCACCTCCTAACCCCCAGGCCCCTAACCTTTTTTCAACCGTAAAACGGGAACCCTTCTGCTACACATTCGAGGGGAAAAAACGAAACCCTGCAAATATTGCGTTCCGCTTGCCTTGCATCATCGGCACCTTGACACATTCCTGTGGCATCCAGGCTGCGACAGGCACCTTTAACGCGCGTGCACTGTGGCGTGGTACCTGCGAGTTTTGAAACACAATAAAAATGGTTTTTGCCGCCGACATCCGGTTGGCTCGGACGGCTTCTGAATTCAAAGCCCACGAAGGTGGCTTCTAGGCCACGCCAATGGGTGGCCAAGGTCATGAAATGTTGGATTTGATGAGGCATGAGAGCTGTTTGCTCCCAAAGGAGACTCACCTTCAAAGGTGACGTTCCTCACCATTGAAAGCTTGCATTCACAACGAGTAACGGACAATATTGCTGACTAATTTGATTGGGGCCTTTGGTGTTACAAGGTGCAAAAGGAAACTGGGTAGACACCCATATCCTACCCAAACCAACCATAGACTACCACTACAAAATGTGTGCTGCTCATATCTGTAAAACTGTAGGGGATGCAAGCTTTCTGAAGTTGCCTTCCATCTGCAAAATTACAAGCTACACTAACCTGACCCAACACTCCTCAAGGCATCAATAGGTCTTTAGCACAGGCTCCGAAAAGGAGCAATCTATTGCAAAATGCATCACACTGCTGCCGTGTGCTAGCAGCATGATCTTGCGGCGTCGGCAGACTTACTGTAAGAACCCAGAAGAGGAACGAAACACTGCATGTCGAACAATGAGGCAAACCAATCATGATGTTGCCAATCTGTTAAGGATGCGCCACTGTGACATTCTGCATGAATGATCAGTGCAGTGAGTCTGCTCGTCTCCACTGCAGGACTGTAGGTCGTCCTTGAAACTTGAAACACCGGATCGCAACGTGTGAGCCACGGTCCATATTCATCGCCCCAACTGACGCGGGAATTGCGTGAACACCCCCAGATCACTACTGGTCATTTGGCATATGCAGCCGACATCGCCGCTATTAAGAGAATCAATATTGACCGTTGCTTACATCAACATCTTGCCAATGAGAAAGGACAGAGCGCAAGTTCTTTGAGCATGGCAAAATCTGTCTAAAGTACCCTTACCTATTTGCTTGGGGGGAGGTAAAGCTCAGAAGACTGCCCTTCCCCATCAACGTGCAACCTGCTCCTGCAATCGCAACAGAGCCGGCCCTGTGTGTTCGATGTTTGGAGACATCAACACAAGGCGTCGGAAGCTGAAGTGGCGCAGGCACTGGTTGAAACGGGCAAGTGTGCCGTCGGGCAAGGAGGTCCCTTGCGGGAGCGACATGCGACGCTGCTCCATGGAAACCAGAAACTGGTCTGCCTCTGGGATTCCCTTGGCTCGGAGATGGGGCAGGATGAGTGCCAAGAGCTCGGCCTCGCCCAGATGGCGCAAGGTATCCCGAAGACTCTTCCTCAGTTTGGTAGTTTGATGCGGAATGTGGCAAAAGTTGCATTCCGCCCCCTGGGGGCAATTCCCATGGGTCGCGTAGACACATGGCTTCCTGCAAAATTCCGGGTGACCCACGCTGCCTTGGGACGCTTGAGGCATGGGAGCCGTAGGTGGCATCTCCGGCATTTCCGGCGAATTCTCCACAGGCGGCATCGCCACAGACGGCGTCTCCAGAGGCGGGAGTGGCTCTTCGAGAAAGGACAGCATGTCGGCCCGGTGCGCCAAGTTCTCGACATAAGGTTTCAAACTTTGCCCAGTCGTTCGGAACACTTCTGCACTCTTGGAACGCGGTCCATGCCGGCGCTCCTTCACAGTCACAAACGTGTCCTGGTAGGTGCAATAGAATCCCATGGCAGCGAAGAATGGCTTAACGACGGCCGTGGCTCAAGCCTGGCGACAGAATCTCTCCATCAATCAAGCAGAGTCCAGACATGCCAAAAGTGTTTTGCATGTCGTGCGACAGGCTTGACAGATCTTGCACTCAGCTCAAGCGATTTGGAACTGCAAGGAACTACACTCCACTGAACACAAAAAAAAAACATAACGGCAGGTCAATGGGTTCCCTTGAACTAAGGCGACAGCAGTTTCCTCTTGGCCCTGAAAAGGGTATGTTCCCAAAATGTCCAAGGAGTGCTCCTGAGCCGAAGCACCGCTCAGAGCGAATCTGGGCGTCCTCCACGCAGGTGCTCAAGTCGAAGGGCTCGGAGCCCTCAGCTCGGCCCGGTCGAGTCCGTGAAAGCTGACTAGGGCTTAAGGTGGGGTTCCTCAAATTTGAGGTCAACGCATCGCAAATGCCTGGGCCGGGGGAGGTGTCTTCTCTGTGCCTGCTTACTCACTCCATTCAAGCTGTCCTTGTGAGGATAAGTGAACCAAGCCGTCGCTCGACTATAAAGCCTGCATCACAACACCTAAAGGCTGGCCGACAAGCAAGCCGCCTGTTCTTGCTGTATGTGTTCAGGGCCTTCGCTTCAGCCTGCACTTTTGTTGCCAACCCTTCAATTTCATGAGTGGCCATGGCCATTTTGGCTAGCTGGTGTCTGAGCATGCAAGGGCGGTGGCACCTGCTTGCCTCGCTATTTAGGCAGCTTTGTGGTTGGAACAAGGCTGGATGTTTCCAGGCAAAGAATTAGAGTCAGGTAAACACCTGTTCCCAAGCCTCTCTTGTGTGCGAGGGAGTTGGCATCTCGGTTCCTTCGCTTCCACCGCGACATGCTGGGAATTACACAACCCGAAAGCCTAAAAAATACCAAGGTAGATGCATGAACGTGAGCTATGGGTCTCCCTGACTCAAGTGAAGCGTCGCCGCCGTTGTATTGCATCAAAAGAAAAGCCAGCAAGCAACATTAGCGAACCTTGATGGTGCTTGGGCTTGCTCGTCCCCGGCTCAGCTCGCCAAGAACCAGCTCACATGGCAGTGATGGGCACGGGACCGCTTCGAAACAACAATGGAACCATTCGAAAGCATGCCCGATTGCAACAGGCTCACCGCAGCCTGTTGAGCCACCTGTCCAGCGCATTGATCTAACAGCATGTCACGCCAATCAAAGACCGGAATCGTGCATGCTTGTTGTCATTCGAAGGAACAAAACAGCTTTGTCGCCCCTTTGCCAAAGAGACGCTGGTTCAAGGCAAGCCGCATTGGAACCCGTTTCCACGTGATGAGCCTCAAACTCTGGGATCTCTATCTTCTCGCTCCAGATCCTTACGCTGGCAAACTTGGCCAAAGCTGGGCCAGAAGGGGCCACCGGGCAAACACATGAGAGATCACAAGCCCACAAGCCTGCAAATCCGTCCATGCGGCCCTGAGGAAAAAAATGACGTGAAAACATGGCTCAAGTTCGGATGAGTGAGCTGCTTCCATGGAGCCAGACCCTGACTGTTCACTCCTTGCTCATGGCCACTCAAGTTCACAGGAAGCCAAGGCAAACCAAAGCCTGGGTCTACCAAGGCGCTCGAGAGGCGAACTTGGCAAGGGGTCCACGTCCTCAGGCAGCGTCGGCTGCATTGGGCGCTGGGCATCCTCCAATGCCATGGTGATGCCTGGCCAGAAAATTTAATTGGTAAGGAAACTGAGTTGGTAATTCAAGGCAATTACCCGCCCACCAATTGACATGGAACCTGACAGAGGGTATGTCTCCTGAGACAAACATGCGTTCAGGCTCGCTCTGCAAGATGCCTATCGAAGAAGTGAGGGTAACTACAAGACCAGTAACTGTTTGTCCTGATCATCGACGCATGTTTCCTAACGCATTGCCTCTGGGTACATGACTGTTCATCCTGGTGACGGTGAGAAAACTCCGGTCGGCATAGGTAACCTCCACCCAAACGGACACCCATCTGATTGAAACCCACTCCGCCCCGCCTTCACCATCATCAGGCCTCAGCAAAGCATCCCCACTCAACAAAAAGCTCTGAGGAGCAAGGCTGCTCCCCTGTAGACCATCTCGTCCGCCCCGCGGACTCTCTTCTTTGCTGCTACTTTAGGCGTGTGTGTGTGTGTGTGTGTCTTATGTCTCTCCAAAGAACACTCGCCAAGCCCCTACTACAAGCACATTTAGCAAAGGAGTCCTGCAACCATCAAGATGCAGTTTCGATGGCTTCAAGAACACGTTACAAAGGAAACCAGCTGAAAACAATATACTTCACCTGCGCAAGATCTCATCTAAGGCTGCAACGGTTGGGGTGCAAAGTTGACTTCCTCCAAGACGGTGCGGAGCGCTTCGCGCTGCGAGTCGATGAGGTGATGCAATTCCTGCCTGGCCCATTTTGCCCTTGGCACTGCCTAGTGCCTTTGCCAGTGGCACGCGTTGGCAACTGGCATGACTCACTTTCGCAAAATAATTCTAGCAAATGTCCAAATCTAAAAGTTTGAGGGAACACGCAAAAACGAGGCGTCATTACCAAAAAAAAAAAAAAACGAAAAAAGCTGTGTAACCCCAAGACACATGTTGTTCCGAGCTGCTGGTGGGCCGCGACCAGCTCCACGAGTTTCTCCATGGCGTGACGCCCAAGTTCAAAATCTAAAAGTTCATGAGTCGCGGTGTACATAGTGCAATGAACCGCTCGATGTTTGACCTGTGAAAACAGCTGGCGATTTGTGCGGCAATGCGCAAACTTGCATGCAACATCAAAGCTGGGCGCGTCAACGGCGACGAATACGTTTTCTCACATTACAGCGCCCCCTCGGCCCCCCACAAGCAAATGACAAGCGACAGCTCGCTCTTCCCAACGCCCCGCTCTGCGTTGAGGCATGGCACCGTCCCCCCCGCCCGTTTCCAACAGGTTAATACCGCAAGACTAGCCTCGTTGGAACTGTCTCACTTCTTCATCTCCTACTTATGCACGGCTGCCGACTAAGTGGCACGGCGCGAGAGGCAGCGGCAGCCGGGGCGGGCGCGGACTGGCACAGCACTAAGAAGCGGCCTGGTCAGAAAGTGGGCCAGAGTCGGCACCGAACAGAAAGGAGGCTAGGCACTGCCACTCAGCCTGGGCACGGGAAAATAATCGAAATGACGCGTAAGAAGATGTGCTAGCGCCGAGCGGGGCCCGAACAAATGCATCCGAACCGACAGGTGCTCCCAGGATCGGAATCCTTTGGTCGCCAAGCCCCTTCATCCGGCGCAACTTCCGCCACGCCTGGCGGCTCAACAATGCATGCGCTCCATACACGGGTCTGCGCTTGGTTTAAGGAAATACGAGCGTGTTCCCACAAACACCAGACCACAGCCTGGCACACAAAGATCAAGGAAGGCGAAGGCCCGCTCGTCCCCGTCGGCCTGCGTGCCGTACCAAAGGTTCACACACGGCAACACCCGTAAAGCATATCCTCGAGCGCCTGAAGCATGGCTGTACAACTGACATGGTCATACGCCCCCACGCCGTCCACTGTTAGGGCAACAACCGCGCACTGTGTGCCTGTGACCCTTCAGAGCCCGACGGCCAGCTGCACTGGGCCATCATGCAAGGCCTGCTTGTGGAAGGTGGCAACATGGATCGGAAGAAGCGCATCCGCAGCACGGATCTTTTTCGTGCACAGGGTGAAACGCTTCCGAACACGAGGACAAGCGAGCAGTCCTCATCGTCAAGCCGTCACGGCCCTCAGCGGACCCTAAGCGGCAGGCGGCTGAATTCCTCAGCCGCGCCAAGGCATCGCCAGTGCCATCCAGGGCGTCCTGGTCTGCGCCAAGGCAACGAGCGCCCTTGGCGCCGCAACGGCAACAATGCCAAACCAGCGCTAATGGAAGGCCTGCACAGCCCAGCCCCGCAGCCACTGGGGCCGCTCCCTCGCTTTGGCACAGGCTAGGGCCAGCAACTCCCGCGCCTCGCCGTTCCACCTGCCACCAACCTCCGACGCCGAAAACGACGAGGCGGCACCGCTGTGTTGCAAGCAGCTCAGGGTAAGTCGCCTCCCGCTTACGCCGAACCGCTTGCTCCAGCAGCCCCCGGCCTCTCTGGCACTGCCTCCCGATCGGGCTGACGAACATGCATGGCAACACGTCCGCCTGCCTCACGACAGACGCGAGCAACCGCCCGTGCCGGACGTTAGACAAGCAGTGACATTGTCGCCCAAAGCATTGACGGGGCGCCCGCAGCGGCACGTGCAGGGCTCTCCCAGCATGTGGCCCCGCCTGCGACAACAGCAGCGCGCGCGATGCAAGGTGAAAACAGCGTGTCCCCCCTCGTCGGTCAGCAAGGTCGCCTCTTCTTGCCAGCCGCGGAGGAAGTCTCCTGTCACCTGGCTGAGCGCCGCTCCATCCCACAGCTCCTGCCACGTGGGCCTGCGCAGCCAGGAGGTCCGCCCCAAGCGTCGGCAGGGATTTTAGACCTGCCAGGAACTGTGCGGCCCCGGTCGCCAAACCAATTATTCTCTCCGACGCAACCTGACTCGACCCAACTCGGCCCATGTTATTTTTCCGAAAGAAAATAGACCAGCTTGCCAGCGCGACGCTGGAGCGCTGCAGCCACGGCCGCAACATCACCAACCCCATCGTCGAGGCACAAAAGCGTAAAGCCGCAACATCACCGAAGCATCTGCGGCTCGTGGACATCATCCTGCTTCTCATACTAGCACGCTCGCACCGGTCGTCAGGGGATCGTAGGCGGACTGCCTTTCCAGCGCCGCCGACGCGTAAGTCCAAACCAGCCCAAGCCCTTTTCGACGCCATGCTGCGCCACGACTGGAGGCGCCTCGGCATCTCCGTCGAGGAGGTGCGGGAGTTTTGCGTGTGGCGCAACGCCCCGATGCGCGTGCAGAGCTTGCAGGGCGACCTCGTGGACAGCTACGGCCCGGCGCTGAAGGAGCACCGCGCCGTGTGCTTCCTGGCCTTCGACGGGCACTGTTTTTTTTTGTTGTTGTTTTTTTTTTTTTTCCTCGGACCTTTTTCCGTCAAGCCGCGGTGAAACAGGGTGAAACACGCGACCGGCCCCTACGCGCCCGGCGCCCAACGGGCGTCGGACAGGACATCGCCCTCCAACGGCGCGCTGGCGTACGCGTCGCCAACGTCGGTGGGGAGTTGGCAGAGGCTCGCAGCGAACGTTCCCTGCGCTGCGACTGCGGGCATCTGCCCCCACCGGCGCCTGTACGCGGCTGCGACCGCCGTGCGCTGCGCCGCGGGGCTGGCGAGAGCTCGGCCCTGCGCGATGCGCTGGAGGAAGGCCTCAGTCTCCTCGCCCCATCTCCCTCCAACTTCGAGGGCCAGCACCGTCAGGCGACACCGCCGGGCTCGCTGAAACTCCGGGTAGGTTACCCGATGCTTGCGCTCGGCAGCGGTTCGCAAGGCGAGGCCGGGCTCGTGGTCGGCGCGAGATCGGCTGCTCCCGTCTCGCCGCAGCGGGCTGACGAGCGTCACATCAACCGCTACCTGCACGCCTCCAAAGGCCGGGAGTCCATGCGCGACGACCTCGAGCCGGCGCCCGTCGGTCAATGGCAGCCCGAGGTTCAAGTCGCGGAGGAAGACGTTGGTCGCGACCCGAGCTCCCGCCTCCCGGCAGATGCGCGCCGCAGCGCGCTCCAGGGGGCAAGCGCGGCGGACCAGCACACCGGCTGTGGGGCAGGCTGCCCTGTGGTCTCCGAGCTCGTCGAGGGCGCCACCGCAGCGGCAGGCTCGGGCTTCAAGTGGCAGTGGGAGGCGCAGGCGCCGCAGGAGCACGCAGCGGAAGGTGTCATCCTGCAGCGTGAACTCCTCGCGTGTTGGCAGCGCCGTGAGAGCGAGGCTGCCGCCTGGCCCAGCCTGGGAGAGCAGCAAAGCCCGAGACGCTCCGTCAAGGTCAGAAAGGAGCGTCTCAAGGGCCCGCTGATCCAGGCTGGCACAAGCTGCTTGTTGCCATCCCCGTGCCGCGTCGCCGAAATGGCTCGCCTCACCGGTGGCGAGCCCGTCCGCGAGGGCCGTCCACGGCGGCGCGTGGAATCCCGCTAGGCGCAGAGCAGCCACAGCCTGGGCCGCCGCCCGCGTCGAAGGCGCGGCGGAGGCGCCCCGCGGATCGGCCAAGCCCATCAGCATCCGCGCGAGCACGCGCGGGTGCTGCTCGCCTATCACCGGCATGGCGTCCGCCCAGGAGGCCCAATAGGCCGCGGCCCGGGACGCCGCGGCAGATCGGAGGCCAAGGCCGCCATACCGGAGTGGCAGCTGCGCACGCCTGGCCTGTAGCTGGGAAAGTTCGAAAGGCTCGTCCGTGCCGCTGAGCAAGCGCCCCAGGCAGCGGGCAATGGCCCGGTCGTGGGACTCGGCGAGGACCTGCGGGAGGCGAGGCGCCAGCTCATGGCTGCCGGGGAAAGCCCCAAGGTGGCCATCAGCAGGCGCAGCACTGCGGGCTCAGGCTGAGGCGGGGCATGCGACACGAGGCAGTCCTGCCTGAACCCCAGGCGGAGCGCACGGGCAATGGTGTCAGGGACGTCCCCTAGCGTCAGTCTTTGTGCCGCATGCTGGAACAGTTGCATGTCCTCTTCCGACTCCAAAAGCAAGCGCCAATGCCCGTCCAGCGGCCGCGCCCCGGCGCGCACGGCGCACGTTGCCGACAAAGCCGCTCCACGACAGTCTTGCCAATTCGCTCAGCTGATGCGGGAGGACTGCATCAGGGACTGGCACTCGTGGGACTCGCGGTCTGCAGGCAGGGCCCGGAGCTCCCGCAGAGTCTCGCCATTGCCCGGCGCCAGCGGCTCGTTCGCCCAAGTGAGCCAAGGCCGCAGCCCCCTCGGGCGGGGGTCGGCCGGGTGTGACCCCAACCGGAGCTGGCGTGAACAAGCGCGCCCGGTGTTCAAGGTCTGCAGGAGCGATTCGCGTTTGGCCAGGCGGCCAGGACAGGGGCATTCGCGGAGCAAGCATGAACAATTTCCACCCCGCTGCTTCCTGCGCTCCCACGTCCCCCAGCGCACGAGGGCTGGGGGGCCCTTGCAGCACGAGACGGACGGCGCCGACATTTGCTGGGGCCGCTTCTCGCAAGCGTTGCACCATAGGCAGCCACCCAGACGTCGTTTGCTGCGCCCACTCCTCAAAAGCGGTGCGGTCCAAGGTGCCGGCAGAGGCATGCAACGGCACATACAGCCAGGAATTGCCCCGGCTGGAAACGGTGCCAGCCGGAGGCCCACGTGCCCACCAGAAGGCAGGGCGGGGCGGGCTGAAGGGGCGTGGGGGAGAAGCGGGCGCGTAGCCCGGCGGCCTCCACCGATCGGGTTCTCGGGCTCGCCAATGCGGGGCGTCTATTGGGAAGTGTGGCCGCTCCAGACGGGGACACGCTCACCGTGGCAAAGCGGAAGGGACAGAGTCAGGGGCGTGTGCTTCGCGGCGTGCGCCAGCCCATCGGGCCCTGGCCGGGCTGAATGGCGGGGGCATGCGCAAGCGTCGCACGAGCTCGTCGGCAACATGGTGAACATTTGCCCAGCCGCACGGCTGGACTGGGGCAACAGCATTGCGGCTGGAAACACAGCCGCGCTCGCTGGCGAAATGGTCAGGCATGGCGGAGGCTGCCTGTGCCCAAGCCCGGGCGAAGCATCCTCAACATTGGGCGGCAAAACAAGCAGCACGCACGTGCTGTTGGGCACTCCGCAGCTATCTGGAGTAAGCGAGTGAAGTGGCCACTGAAGTGATGCAAGCACTGCTTCAACTTAGGGGGATGCCACCGTAAGGCTTTTTTGTGTTGCGCATGGGTGTTGAAAAAAGGATTCATGAAACTATATAACTCTTTACAAACGGCTCAATTTTTGACTTCCATGTAAAAATACATATCGTATCAAGCCATCTGAGTAAATCGCACTCGCAAAGAGCATCGCCTTAGAAA